CAAATTTCCTTCCGTAGAATTTTCTAGTTTTTTTTCTGATGATTCCTTTCGACGTTATTATCATATTGGAACAATAAAAAGAAGGGGTCACCGGACTTGTTTCCATGCAATAGCTTTCGTGAGTTTCGCAATTTCCACGCGCGTTCTCGCGCATTTAAAAATCTAGATTCTATAAGATCGACATTTGCTCATGATCTGTTTTAGCTACCGCTGACAGTTGCGTGTGCTCGCGCGGCGACCTACGATCTGATGTTTACAGACGTTTACTGCTAAGAAAATCATTAAACAGCCGTCAAAAACAGCCACCCGAACTCATCTTAAAAATCCTACTCATGACTTCTGGCCATATCATATTATTTTCCATGAAGTTTCAAAGTCTTCTTCCACTTCAGGTAGATTATCCTTCACTTAAGTTCTTCTTTTTTCGCCGTCGCAAGATTTCATGTCGGTTGAATATTTCAGGCGTGATTTCCATCGTGAATCTAGAGCCGCGCTTCTGCGCGGAACAGTTGTAGGATTTTCAACCGTTCTTGTCCTTTGTTCGGTGCTGTCCACGTGTGATGATCCCTCCTACTTACTCTTAATTTCTAAGAGGTATAGCTTTTGCACTGGCCTGGATAGGTGGGTCGGTTTCCCCTTTGTGACCACCCTCACTGTAGCACCTCTAATAACACCATCTTTCCCTTTGACTAGGCTCTCTACCACTCCTATCTTTCATTCTCCTCTTTTCTTTTCTTCCTCATGCACTACAACTACATCTCCTACTTCTACTGCTATAATCTTATTTTGTGCCTTACACTGTGAAACTCACGCAGATTTGCTAAATATTCCCTTCGCACCTATTACAAAAGTGGCTTAATCGAGCGCTTAGATATTTAAATCTTGTGGAACATTCCGCCTCACCCACCACATCCTTGGGTTCTATGACTTCGTCCGGAAGTGATTTGATCCTTCGTCCATAGATTAAATGAGGTGTTAGCACTTCCCCGTCTACCTCGTTGTACTCATAAGTTAACGGCCTCGCATTTAGAGTGCATTCTACTTCAACGAGCACAGTTAGTAACTCCTCATAAGACAATCTGGCATTTCCCAGTGTCTTTCGCAAACAATCTTTAACACTCGCGACCATTTACTCAAAGAATCCCCCCCACCAAGGTGCCCTTTCTAAATTGAATTTCCACTCTATCCTCATATGCTCTAAGTCTGCTTGGGTTTCTGGATGATCGAACAATTCATTTAAGGCCTTCTCGGTGGCTTGAAATGTTTTCGCGTTATCCGACACAACAAGAGCGGGCGTTCCGCATCTCGCAGTGAACCGTCGCAAACAGCGTCGAAACGCTGCGGCCGACAAATCTACTCTAAGTGGATAGCTCTTGTCACGCAACATGAAAACAATGCGCTATACACCTTCTCCATCTTTCCCACCTTACTCTTTACGTATAAGGGTCCAGCAAAATCGACACCTACTTTTGAAAATGGCGGGGCTTCCCTGACCCTAAACTCTGGCAATGCAGCGGGTGGCGGAGAGCTGTACGGTTTGCCCTTCAGTTTCTTACAAGTGACACACTCGTTCAGAACCTTTTTTACTTCTTGCCTGCCCTTTGGTACCCAATACTTTGATCGCAATTGGGCCAATGTGGCCCTCACGCCACTGTGGTGTACCTTTTCGTGACAATCTCGTACAATCAGCTCAGTTAAATGGTGCTTTCTGGGTAAAATGAAGGGTCTTCTAGCATCGAATTCTAGGTCTGAGTTGACAAGCCTTCCTTCGGACCTCAAAATTTCACCTTGCTTTACAATCCCCAGTTCACTTACCAGTTGCTCGAAGTTACCCTGCTGTTTTAGTTTTTCTTGAGCTGACTTGATCAGCTCAAGCTCAGCTTCCTTTAATTCTCTTACTTCTAACTTACCTGCCCGCTTAACATCTACCTTTCGCTTCACACTAGCCTTCAAATTATTCAAGAACCGTCTTGCCCAAGCGACTACACACACTAACCTTTGCAACCTACTGTAATCATTCAGTGGTACTACTGCTGCGACGCCCTCTTCACCCTTTGTTTCGACCAGCAACGCCGATGTGGATTTCTTCGCTTCGAGTAAACATGCGGGGGTCTGAAAATCCTCCCTTCTCACGGGCCAGTCCTTTTTCTGTTTCTACAAAGTTTCTACACGNCGGGACCTAAACGATCCATTAAGATCACCGATCACTTCACGTGCACCTCCGCCAATGTAATCTATTGCATAACTTGCACTTATTGCAAAAAGATATACATCGGCGAAACAGGCAGAAGACTAGGTGACCGATTCCGAGAACACCTTCGAGACGTGGAAAGGAATGACAAGGACACATCGAAACCAGTCGCTAGACATTTTAATTTACCTAATCATTCTAAGCAACATATGGCAATCTGCGGTCTTTCCTTACACTTAGGTAGCACGGAAAGCCGTAAAAATCTTGAACAAAAGCTCATCTTTCAAACCGGCAGTCTAAATCCCACAGGGATCAACGAACGCTTTTCATTCCACTAATTTATTCTTGTTTTTCTCGTTGCCATGTTCCCACCAATAACGTAGCTCCATTCTCTGCCTTTAAAAGCACACACAACCCACAATTCCTCTATTCGCTCCGACGAAGGGCTAACGCTCGAAACGTCAGCTTTTGTAATCGTTACGGTGGCCAATTTACCACTTCAACTTTGTTGATTTATCCAAATTATTTCGTTACTCCCACCGACGCAGCCCCAAACAGTTTCTTTCGAAACTATCAGCCTTTACTAAATAACATCGACCGAAACCAGCCTCAGCTAAGTTCCTCGGAACGACCATAAGCCACGTAATTCGGCGCAGTACTGCTGAATCTATTGTAGATTTAACAGTTTTTAGTAATATAAACTGTTAATGTCAAAAATTGACCCTTCAATTCAACATTCTCGCAGCGATCGATCAAATGAGCGGAAGTCGAGAGTTCATTATTTTGTAAGACGCCGCTGACATATCGATGACTCATCTGGTTTTGGTCTCTATTTTCGGCTTGGGCGACGCGCTGTCTCTAATGGCATGTGGCGAATGTGACGTGAGAATTTGCGACCCCAACATGGATGAGGGTTTCCTTGTGGAAGGATGGAGAAGTGTAGACTCTTCAGTTACACCGGCTGACTTTTTTCGTTTCCAAGATGCAGTGAATTTATGGATAGAAAGACCAAATGTTGTGAATCGTCGCCTGATGGGTGCACTTATTGTGAAGAAAATGTTTGGTAAACGTTTGACTGGAAGTGATCTTTTGTCTATTATTGATGCTGAAAGCAAGTGTTTATTTCAAGATACCGATTTAGATCATAAAACGTGGCAGTGTGAAGGGGGTGATTATCGTTTTGGCCCGGAAGATAAAGAAGCTTCTGGTTCCTTTGAAACTCAATGTTTTTCGAAGGATTCAGCAGAGCGTCAAGACGGTGAAGAATCAGTTTCCTGCATTGTTCGTAAGTTAATACCAAGACAGGCTCATGGTGAATCAACGGGTGCCATGTTGGAGCTAGTCATTCTAGGTAAGTTAAGTAAGTTAAATTTTTCGTTGTGATAAGTCTTATTACACTGTAAATGATACTGATAAACCAGGTTGGATATACCAGGAGTTGATTCATCTGTATATAGATAAAGGGCTAAGTTTCTAAAGAAGCATCATTTTTTTTTTGGCG